CACACACTCTCTCCAACATGCTGATTACTTACATTTACTTTTCTGACATCTTATCTTTAAATATGCAAATGAGGCACTATCTAATGGTAGCTTTTGGCAAATGTAAGAGAAATCTACAGACACAAATACACAAAGTAGTAAAATAAACTCCTTCGTGTGTATTTTGGATGTGTTTTCTTTCTAATAGTCTGAAAGAAGACGCGTTATAGAAGCATAAATGGGAGCAGTGCATGAAAAACAACGTTTTCTCCGGAGGTATCTTCCCTTAAATAATCAGAAATGAGACACAAACAGTAGCTGAACTGTAGCGGTCTGGTCTGCTGGATCGGGTCTGACCCCGGTGGGTGGAGGAGACAGACTCAGACCTGAGGACCACCCGGCTGAGGAAACTCCCACTGGATGTAAAAATAAGCTCGCAGGGCTGCAGCCTCCGCCATGGTTTCACCCCCAGGGTTTCTAATCATTTAATGAAGAACTTTATACTTTCACCTCAAAGGGAAATAATGTACGTTTTACTACAATACATTTAGTTGAAAGCTAGTTCTATTGTATTTTTTTTATCAACAACCAGTTTATAAAATGAGATGCAGTGTTTCAGAATAAACTACCCATATGTATATGTATTATGTAAAATGTGCTCCTGTTTGATCAGCTGCTTAATGCATCAGTAATGGTGATTACGTCACACTGGTGGGAGCCGATCTGCTGCATAATGTGTACTTTCACTTATTTTCTCACTTTACAAGAGTACAATTTTGACTGCATGTCTTTTACTTGTAAGGTAGTACATTTACATTGTAGTATTGCTACTTTTACTTCTTCTAGAAAAGGCTCTGAATACTTCTTCCACCTCTCTGACACATGAATGCACTGAGAGATTTAATTTAACCGTCTTATTCTCAGACCTTCTCAGGCACATTTCTCTTTATTTTAAGATCTTTTTCCACGAACACGGTGAAACAAAAACGGCTTTTTTTAGCTTCAAGAAGCAGAAAAAACAGACAGTAAATCCTGTGGAAAACAGTGAGAGGCGGTTTTTAAAATCCAAACACACACACACACACTGCAGACTGTGTCATAAAGCTCAACCTAAACACAAGCTGTTCACTCAGGTGTGTGTGTGTGTGTGTGTGTGTGTGTGTGTGTGTGTGTGTGTGAGAGAGAGCACAGAGGATAATTTCCACGTCGCTAACAGAAGCTCAGTGTCTGTGCCTCGGCCTGACGTCTGGCCTCTTTCTACGAGACTCTGGCTGCTCGCCACCCTCAGAAACACAGAAAGGCTCTGAACTCAGAAGCTGCTCGGAGTCGACTCGCTCCACTCCGTTAGAAAAAGGTGAACCGCAGTTCAGACGAGCGGCTGTGTCGGATAACAGCTCGCGTTTGTCTCCAAACAGGTAAAGAACTTTCAGACATCGGGCGGTGGTTTAAACTTTCCTCAGAGCTCTGATGAGTCTGACTTGGCAGTAAATGTTACAGAAGTGATGCGTCACGTCAGACAAAGTCCAAAGTAACTCCACCCTAATTTAATTCTACTGGTCAGACACACGTAACCTGACAAGTTTATTATGAGAGGGTTCTTTTCATGGAGCGTTTTTATCTTTACGACGGCCACAGACTGCAGGAGCAATCCAGTTAATACGACTAATAGCTACAATAAATGAATTCATTCAAAATATGAATGAAATACTTCCATTAATACCACATTTATACTTTTATATTCATACTTGTGTTATATATCGTAGCATTATGTACATCATTTTCCTTTTATTTTAAATAGTCCTTTATCTATATTTCACACAGTCCTTTATTTGTATATTTGTTCTTATATTTCTTTATAAGAGCAGATAACTCAGTCAAACTAAAGCAGAACTACGTCTGGATCAACTTATACAGCTGTGAACACTTTGAAGATGATTCGATTTTAAACAGGCCCATATCTGTTAAATATATACACATTACTAAATGTGTTATTGCAAACAGAAGTAACAGAAGAGTTTTAGTCTGTGATGATCTAAATGTTGTTCCAGATGTCTTTTGTTCTCACACATCTGGGAGATAATGTAGAATTCTTTGGTTGATTTTGACCATATATATTAAAATGAATGAATACCGACACAACAAGTGTGTTAGAAAATATATGACGTTAAAATCAAAGCAATCAAATTCTCACGGTGCGAAACACGACGAGTGTGTTCGGATGTCTGTTGGTCGTCTCGATGAGGTCACAGATGACGGTGAACAGTCATCACACATAACTGCTGCTGCAGATATTTAACGTGCTTTCTGCCGACGCCAGCGATACACAATATGTTTTTAATCGTGATGACTATAAGACCCCCCCCCCCGCCCCCCAAACAGCAGCTCGCAGCTCGCTCTCTGCTCACAACTCATGCAGCAGTCTAGACCGTCTGTCCCTGATGATGTCATCAGTGTGTGACGCAGACAGGTGGTTCACTCCTTTGTTCTTTCTCCTCTTCTTAACCTTTTTCTGCACCAACTTTGTTTCCTCTCTCAAACCACTCTCTTCCTCCACTGGAGAAGCCACTTGACATCATCCCTCTCCTCCATCCTCCCCCCTCGCTCCTTAATGTAACCACTTGAGAAAGAGATAATGACATCATCCATCTTTGTCCTCTTCTTTTTCCTTTGGTTGCAGTTGGGAATTCCCATTTTTATTTAATGTCTGTATCATACACATTAGCTCTCCTCTTCCTCTCACTCAGTCTTCCTCCTCCTGTCTATCTCAGCGCGGTGGAGAGGATGACTCCAACCCTCTTCCTCCATCCTCGTCTTGTCCTCCTCTTCTCTGTGCAGCCACATGGAGGAGAAGGTCAGCGGCCATCTTTGATTTTCACTCTGAATCCTGACTGCATCACTTTGTAACATGTTTTATTGGAAACACTAAGAAACTTATGAGCATGTGACACGAGAACAAGTGCAGCGGAATCGTTTTGAGCCGTTTCTATTCATTCCCGTCGCTCACGCTGAAATATCTCTAATGAAACAGCCGACTCGTGAAGTTGAAATTAGGGGTGGAAGGTATATTTACTAATCATTTGAATTGCGTGTTTTCTGCAAATAACCACGATGACAAAACCAAAGTAAAAAGATAAGGATGGTTAAAATGATGCCATGCAGTTGCTCTTCACCGTCTCAAGTATTTCTGTTAACATTTTAGGGGGGAAAATGAAATATACTGAATATGTTTGTACTTTGTTTATAATTAGATGCGATTGTGTACAAACACCTGTTTGTACAAGAATGAAATAATCACTTTAAGAAATGGGAAAGTGTTGCTTTCAGTTCATTTGTAGAAGAAGAAGAGGATGAAGAAGAAGGAGAAGAAAGGAGAAAGAAGGAGAAGACAACAAATAGCATGTTTGTCTTTTTTATTCCCTCGACTCTCCTCCCATCATCTCTCTCTGAGCATTTGGAGATTCCCTATCTGAAGTGGTTACGCACCACATAATGACAGAGCGCACACACACACACACACACCAGATGTTTACTGGTTAAGAGTTTCCTTTCATTCAAACATTATCTATATTACGCTACGTTTTTGTCCAACAGATGAACTGAAGTGAACTGAGAAGAGACTACAGGAGAAATACAAAGTCTCGTAGTAAAATCTGAGCTTTGTGAGCGTTTCAGGATCTGAAAGTTAACTGAGAAACTTGTGGAGTGTAATTTAAAACTGCTCACTGGAGAGAAAACAATCATTTCAACAGTTAATCCACGAAAAAGTCCCTCGAAATAAAGACTTTTGTTACGAGTAGTTAGAACAACAGCTACAGCAGTTTAGTCCTCATTACATGGTGTACACACACACACACACACACACACACACACACACACACACACACACACACACACACACACACACACACACACACACACACACAATAATTATAATGTGAAGCCCTGATTGGAGAGTGTACAGAAACGGTTTGGGTACACTGTGCATGAAAAAGTGGTGTTCTTATGGGTGTGTGTGTGTGTGTGTGTGTCATTATGTGGAGACATGTGAAGCATGATTTAGATCATCTGGATAAACTGTCTTTGTTGACGTGTCGAACATCTTTTTTACTTTCTACACACTATTAAATAAAAGGTGTTTCACGCAGCAGCAGCCGAGGCAAAGAGCGGATGTTTACGATCAATTAACACCAAAATGTTCACGTACGCTGCTTAAATCTGTCTTGATTAAAAACTCTCGATGATCGATTGAACTGAGAGAGAAAAGAAAGTTAATGAGACAGAAAGAGGAGAGAAAAAACAAGACACGTAGCACAAAACATGTTGAGACGTTAAACCCACATCAGACATCGCTGTGTTTACCATGGGCGGGTCTGCACTGAGACTGTGTGTGTGTGTGTGAGTGTGAGTGAGTGTGTACTGGCTACTTCTGTGTCTGTACATTTGCGTATTGGATTTGTTGAGAGCGAGGACGGAGAAGATATTTGTATAAAAGGCCTCGAGGTTTCATTTTGATTGTGGTGTGTGTGTGTTTGCATGAATGTGTGTGTGTGCGAGTATATGTGAGTGAGTGTGCTTGTATGCGAGTGTGTGAGTGAGAGTGTGTTTGTGCGTGTTTGCATGCATGCATGAGTGCGTGTGTGTGAGTGTGTGCGTGTTTGCATGCGTGAGTGAGTGAGTGAGTGAGTGAGTGAGTGAGTGAGTGAGTGAGTGAGTGAGTGTTTTTCCTTCTATTCCTCACCGTACACGTCTTTCCTGACGAGCTTTCCGTCTCTTTGATTACGGGACGGCGGTGTCGAGTACAGGGTGCAGCCATGGCAACCACAGGGTATGTGTGTGTCTCTTTAATGGCGGGGGGCAGCCCAGGTGACTGCCTGGCAGTGTTTCTGGGTTGCTACGGCAACATGCCAAACCGACAGGCTTAAAAAGTCAGTACGAGCCTCACAGAACTAAGTAATTATTTATAACAACTTCAATGACATTAAATGTGACAAATGACCAGAAAACAGCTTCAATTTATATTTATTCTTTGAAGTTCTTTTTGATGGTTTGAGTGGGAGATGAACACGACGACCATCTGGAAGCTATTCTCCTGACCACCAGGGGGCGACTCCTCTGGTTGTATAGAAGTCTATGAGAAAATGACTCTACTTCTCTCTTGATTTATTACCTCAGTAAACATTGTAAACATGAGTTTATGGTCTCTATCTCTAGTTTCAAGTCTTCTTCAATACAGCATGATGTTCATTTAGTACATTATGGTCCATTTAGAGTCAAACAGACCATAAAGCAGGGGATGCTTTAGGGTGGGGCTTACTGTGATTGACAGGTCTCTACCAAAGACGTTCACTGGTTGGAAAAAACAAGATGGCGACGGCCAAAATGCCAAACTCGAGGCTTCAAAGCTGCGCCTACATAAATCCATGGAACATGGATTTATTTTGAAAGGAACATGTTTCTGAGGGATTATTTCTTCCTTGGTGATGACTGACAGGAGGCAGATCTGAAAACACTGATCTCAGCACAATGAGGGTTAACTGAGGAGGATTATCTCAATCTGAGGAAGGTGGCTTCTTCCTCTGAAGTACAACCAGATCTGCTCTCTGCAGTTTTTTAAAAACCCGTAATGTTCTTTTAAACGTGCAGCGATATAAAACGTGAAAGTTTAATTGTTGCAACGTCCATTTTAAATGCGGCTGAAAAGCTGCTGGATGTGCGACGAAGGCGGCGGTGGTTGTTCTTCTTACCTTTCTTCATCTTTTTCTGCAGTTTGATGGTATCCGACGATTTCTTCTTGATGTCCGCTCGGGCCTTCTTGTACTCTAAACGACAAAAAAAACAGTCAGACGTGAGACAGGTCTGTGTGTGTGTGTGTGCGCGCGTTTACCTTTAGCGTGGTCCTTGTCCAGCTGACTTGCCACTTTCTTCCACTCCTCCATCTTCAGCTCCAGCGGAGTGACGAGGCCTTCTGAGAGAGCTCTGAGACAAAAAGAGATAAAAGTCTGAATTAATCGTCGTGTTTGACCTCGTTTTCTTTTAATTCCTCCTTTAACAGAATATATAAAAGTACTCCGTCACTTTTCCAGTGAGTCTTGGATTTAAACCAGTAACTCTCTGGTAGATTGGGTCAGACAATATTATTGTATTATTCATTTATGTAGAGCTGGAATTATCAATTATCTACAATTTTTTTCCCCAATAACTGATTTATTTATTCTATAAATCTCATAAAAATGCCTTTCAAAATAAGAGAAGAGTCCAAGATGACGTCTTCCGAATTTTGCTTTGTCTGAATAACAGACCAAAAATATAATATAGCCACTGTTATTAAATTTACAATAATATAAAAAACAGAGAGAGGTAGCAGACGCTCACATTTGAGAAGACGAGATCAGATAATATTTGACATTTTTGCTTTATACATAACTTAAAGACGAATAACCTGAATACCTAATGCCTCCTGTCACGCTTTCTATAGGCAATGAGGCATAAAAAGCAGTTTTTTTTATATTTTAGGGTTTCTAGTACTCGATTCGACTCGATTAAGCAGATTTTATGTCAAATTTGTTTCTCTTGTGAAGCAATTTGAGCTGCATTTTAAGTTATGACAGGTGCTGTATAAATAAAGCATATTATTATCATTATCCTCATCATCATTATTATCATTATAATAAAGCTGTGTGGTGCTCATGTGTTTCTTAATTTAAATGATGACAAAAACTAAAAAATTAAGATCAGACTTTAAAAATAAAAACTTCTTCATCCTAAATTTTTTTCCAGAGAGCTGTGCATTGTGTGTGAGAATCATCTGACTGACAGCTTCTCTGATTGCTGCAGGCTGTAATGACAGATAAATGGCTCTGACAGTGATGACCATACACACCCAACATTGTATTACAATTGAGAGTAATTAGAGTCTAGTTCCCACGCTGTCAGAGAGGTGTCATTCACACCTTCACCTGCCCTCCTTCATGCCTAGTAAACAACGTGTGTGTGTGTGTGTGTGTGTGTCTTACGTGGTGAACAGCTTGAGTTTGGACTCGATGCTGCGGTGTCTCATACACATCCTGGTCAGCGCTGAGCCGATCTCTTTGGTGGCCCCTGGAAAACAACAAAAACAACCACATCAGTTCCTTTTTCAAAATAAAAAAGGATTTGTTTTTTTTAAACCAATAACGTCTCAAAATAAAGCGCCCACTTTGTGACAATTTTAGGATTTCAGACATTTATTCGTCTTCATGATTTCAACATGTTGAAACATGTCATTGTTCATTGCTTCATTAAGTGGTATTAAGGAGAATCAATCTGATTAAGATCATATGATGAGTGTTGAAATAATCTGTGTGTGTGTGTCTCATTTTGTTAATGAATTATGTAATAAAGAGACCAACTTATTTTACAATCAGCCTCGTTAGTTGGCTGTAACATCAGGTTTCACACACAACATTACAACAGTCGTCCTTACATAATAACTATATAATGCCACTTAATGAGGGAGTGATACACACACACACACACACACACACACACTCGTCTGAGACATACTGGATTTTAACTGCCCGTGGGAAGAATTAACCTGTAAGAGTCTATTTATTATTGTTTAAAGACTCTGGTGTCACTAAAGACACTGATCACTTTTCTCTTTATGGAGAACGTCATGTGAAATATATATATATATATATATATATATATAAATATATCAGTGGCGGGCCGTGTGTTTTATACATGGGCCTTCAGTGCTATCCTACTACAGTTGAACCACCTCCTAATAAGCTCATTGTGACGCCACAGCTACGGTTAGCAATTGTTTCTTGGGGCGTAACAATACACGTATTCGTATTAAACCGTTCGGTACGAGGCTTACGAACCGAACAATACGTTTGAATAATACTAGTGCATTTGGAAAATGCAGAAGCTTAAATTGTGGGAAATATAAGCTAATGTTCTCTCGGTGGAGCCACTGCGCTCAACCTGGCAACCCACCCGACGTCACATACAACGTGCTGCCCGACACGCAAAGTATTAAACATATGATCATATGTCACACAGACAGGAAGTATTCATATATACACAGTAAGGGTGCAACGGATCACAAACCTCACGGTTCAGTTCGGATCACGGTTCTTGAGTCACGGTTCGGATCAACAAAGAAAAGGGGAGGAGACAAATATAACTTTGCTTTCCATTTATTAATTAAAGAACTTCAAGAACACTTAAAGAAAAGAACTTTGGTCTGTAGCCTTACATAAAAACAAAAAATATTGAAGATGTCCAATTTGAAACAAAATGAAATAAAAATATAATATTCAAGAATATTCAATTCTGTTAAGTGTAAGTGCAACATGAGGTATGTTGATATCCTCGTCCTTTGATCAATACTGAAAGAAAGAAACAGCCAGTGAGCTAGCTTCTACTGTTTCAACTGAACTGAACTGCTAGGCAACAACTTGGGTCTATGTTTACTTCCTGTCAGGTTATGTCATTCAAATACACAATAATGTTTACCATTATTTTCAAAAAGATGAGAATATCTACATTGCCTGGGGAGAGGGTAGACCTTTCTGTAGTGATATTACTATTGGGCCGGTCTAGCTTCCACTCTGATACTTCTGTCAGCACCTGCCCCAGGTCTGTGTCTGTGTGACTCTCACAGAGGGGGCGTGTCTGCAGCACCAGACTATGAATCTCCACTCCACCGTGATGAAAGCGGTCACAGTCTTTTCCTTCTCATAGAGGCCTGGAACAGCTTCACACTGAAGTGGGTGCGTGAGTGGATTTCGTAGCGTGGCTCAAGCATTTTAACCAGATTTTGAAATCCTTCGTTTTCCACACCGGAGTGTCCCCCGTCGCTGACAGACGGGATGGTCTCTTCATATGTGTGGACATGCAGAAATGCAGAGACATGCAGAGGTATGAGGCAGAAAGACAAGTTTCTGCCCCAAAGACCCAGATGTGCGAGGTACAGAGTACCGATGAGTACCAGAGCAATATGAACCACGTGCAGGAGGAACTCCATCACAAGAACAATACAATCTTGGATCTCTCTCTCTCAGAGGCCGAGTAAAAAACACACCGAACTCGCCCAGAAACAACAGGACTGGGTGGAGAAAGAAGAGCTGATGCAGGGAAACATTGATCGCCTAGGGTACGTGAAGAAGGCCATGGCGGTCAAGTTCGGACAGCACCTGTCTCAGAAACAAGGCGAGTTCATGGCGATTATGCAGAATGTGACCCGGGAGTGGAAGCAGCAGGAGGACAAGATATACTGGAGGGACGTTAAGATCGTGGAAGTCTTAAAGGAGAAGGAGTGTCTCCATCAAAAGCTCACTGAGACCACCGAGAAGCTGATCCACAAAGAGGCTGAAGTCCTCCAGAGCGAGAATGTCTGGAAGGAGAAATACGAAGCTCTGGGTGAGAAATCAACAAGAGAGCTCGCCCAGACAGAACAGGTCTTGGTGGAGTCAGAAGAGCACATCACTCGCATCCTGGATGAGAGGAAGCAACTGGAGGGAAACTTCAGAGAGCACCCGTCGGAGAAAGAACAGCTGATGAAAACAATGCGGACTATGGACCAGCAGGGGAAACAGCAGAACAAAAAGATCGTGCATCTCACAGGAGAGATGGCAATGCTCTCTCGACACTCTGACACAGTCATGAATAGGTACAACTCTAAACTTACCGAACTTACCGAGCCACTGCCATTCATAAACATAGCTTGTCAGCTGATACCAATGCCAATATCAACATTGTCTGTCAATTGCATGATAATCATGCACACAAGCTATTCAAATAGATGTTTTCATTTTAAACATAAATGTGGAAACGAAAATGAGTGATTGCCTATTAGTGCCACTGCCATGCATAAAGATACCCGTTATCTTGCATACAACACTGAACTATTAAAATAATGGTCAGATTCATGTTTAGAGAAAAAAAAAAAATTTAAATTTAAAAAAACGTTTTTTAAAAATTGTCTAATCAACCAAATATTTCGTGGACCCCTTGCAGTACCTCCTCGGACCCCATAGGAGTCGCAGACCCCCTGTTGAAGACCTCTGCTCTATACCTCCACCCTTCCTTCCCTCTATCTGTCCTTCTGCCTCTCTCCTGCTCTCCATCCTTCCCTCTCTTCCTCCCTCCTTTCCATTCCAAAACATCCATTATCGGCCACACAACGTGGCAGAGGGCAGGTGAGACACACACACACACGCGCACACAGGTATGAGGCGTGGGTTAAACGTTTAAGGAGTGGCGAGGGGTTTGCGCTTTATTTGCCTTTCCCTCCCTGTTGCAGCTTTGAGCTCAGAGAACATCATTAAGTCTCGAACGGAGAACCGCAGAACACAGACATCAACCAAATGCAGCTAAAGTAGACGTTTCACGTCTGTCATGTAATGTTTAGGGAGGTCTTCAACGTTTTTCAGGCCAATGACCCCCAAACTGAGAGAGATGGAGCAGGGACCCCCGACTATATAAATTGTATAAAATTGTGTTTTATATTAAACTGGGCCTAGTGCCGTGTATAAACATACCTCTTTATTGTGCATTCAATACTAAGCTATTCAAACAATACACAGGTTCATATTCATGTTTTTATTTTAAACATGTGCAAGGTACAGTGAGCAGGGTGGCCGTACTACTGCCATTTATAAACATAGCTTGTCAGCTGATACCAATATCAACATTGTCTGTCAATTGCATGATAATCATGCATACAAGCTATTCAAATAGATGTTTTCATTTTAAACATAAATGTGGAAACGAAAATGAGTGATGGCCTATTAGTGCCACTGCCATGCATAAAGATACCCGTTATCTTGCATACAATACTGAACTATTACAATAATGGACAGATTCATGTTTAGAGAAAAGAGGTCTTCACCCCCTGTTGAACACCTCTGCTTTACAAGGTTCTAGTATTGGTACAGGCACCATATTTTACTTTTATCTTATTAAATGCTACCCAGCTGAACTGGAACTACAATTACAACAATAAAATCCAACTTGTAATAAATCAAAAATGTTCCTTTAATCGATGGGGTTTTCTTTTGAAGCTGCACTAACACGGTTCTGTATCTTGCATTCAAATGTTTTCTTTTTCAAAAACCCTGAAGAATGACAGTACACTGCCCTGCCCTGTTATAATGCCCTAAATATTCATTTCGCAACGCATGGATTACAACATGTGTGTGTGTGTGTGTGTCGTAGCCAGGTTTCTTCACACTATAGGCGTTTCGTTGTGCTCAGACACGTCTAATGGAGCTCAGGGTCAACTTCAGAGAAAAACGCAACCTGACAAGATGAGACAGAGTGTGGGAGTGAGTTTGTGTTTGATATGCACATTTTGTTTTGTTCTGGTTTTGACGTGCTGTTGATTCACGACTCTGGTGGGAAGCCGATGAGGAAGTGTCTTAAAGCTGCATGAGTTTATGGTCTCAATCTCTAGTTTCAAGTCTTCTTCAATACAGCATGATGTTCATTTAGTACATTATGGTCCATTTAGAGTCAAACAGACCATAAAGCAGGGGATGCTTTAGGGCGGGGCTTACTGTGTGATTGACAGGTCTCTACCACTACCAGAGACGTATACGTCGTCTCTACGTCACTCCTCCGCATTAAAAATATGGTAACTTATGTTCATTGGTTGCGAAAAAACAACATGGTGACGGCCGTAATCCAAGATGGTGACGGCGAAATTCGCCGAACTCGAGGCTTCAAAACATCACTCCACAAACCGATGGGTGACGTCCCGATGACTACGTCTACTTCGATTATAAAGTCTGTGGTTATTCGATCAAGACTTGCCTGGGATAATATGTGTAATTTGGAAGTTACCTGCTAACAGTTGTTGTGATTCAAAAGATATTCAGTTGTTGCATCTGTACTGGTTCATAGAAAGCTTCATTAGGAGACACAGTTTGAGATGCGTTTCATGCGTCTTCGTGGTCTTCCAGTTCTGACGTTACCTGCCGTGACACCACGAGGATGCCGTCGCTGCCTGTGAGGCAAAGTCCACCCTGACAGAAAATACAGTTTAAATTCACCAGACAAGCAAAATGTGTTCCGGCTCGTTCTCAACGTGAGAGAAACTCCCACATCAGGAGAGAGAGGCGCCTTCAGGCTACATCACCAGCTGTCCCCTCTGTCCTCAGATCACAGAGAGACGAGAACAGTACCGTAGAAACCAACCACAAGATTCACACACACACGAACCCACCAGACCGGTTCTGAGAGAGAGAGAGAGAGAGAGAGAGAGAGAGAGAGAGAGAGAGAG